AACAGTGAAAGATCTATTCCATTTCTGAAGGACCATGCATCAGGCTCAATGAGCTGCTCCTGATACTATCAGGAACTCGCATGGTCTGTACGAGGAGGATGTTCTTTACATTAACCCAGTCCTTTAGGGATGGTGCTTGAACCCATAAAAGATGCTTCTGAAAAACTCTGGGTCGTGGTGGTTCATTAACACTGGCACACTCCCTCTGTTTTGACTCCTGTTGCATTTTAGACTGATTCAGGGCCATGTTTGCATCATAAGAAAACAGCCTTTGAAGTAAGTTACAGAAATGAACAATTTAGCAAATAACTTTTTATGAAAAACCCATGCAGTGAAATAACACTGTTGACTTCTTTCCACCAAGATGATCTCACCATCTGAAAATAAAAAGAAGAGACCAAACCCACATAAGAATCAGCAGACTCTACTGTTCAGCTGCTGCTTCCCTCCAAGACATGCATCCTTCTCCAAATGGAATTTACCAAGTAAAAACATTCTGGCTGACACTGGTCACCCACAGGTCTGTACTCATTCCTACAACAACCATACACAAACAGGCAATGTAACAAGAGGGAGCACATCTTAAAACATGTTCACCTTTTGCTACACTTTGGTTCCACAGCAAACACTGCCTAACGCACAAGCACACTAGGAAAACCCCAATACATTCTCATTTTGAATATAATGTAAAAAAAAAAAAAAAAAAAGAGTAATACAAAGAAAAACATGACTTCTTTTTGTGTCTGGAGCCCAGACAGTTAAGCTTAGATAAAATTGCCCAGGTCCTGTCACTGAATTAAATGCCAATTTGAAGCCAAAAGAATGGGCTCACCAGTCTTAGCATAAGCCTAAACAGGGACACACTTCTCGGTTTTGCTTATGGAGATGAACTGATTCATAAACGTAGTATAAAATCCAAGATACAAGGCTATGTGGTCCTTTGCGTTCATTCATACACTGCTCAAACAGAAAAGCGCGTGGATGGGCAGCCTGAGGTGGAAAAAAGGTCAGAATAAAAATCCCAGCGTCTTTGTAAGTCACAGAGGAGAGGGAAGCTGCAGCATTAAACTGGATGTTCAGCTTCCATGTTATCGTCCATAACCAAAACCTAACTGAATATCTGGGTTAGGCAAATTTGTTGATTAGTTCCTGGTGCCAAACACCTGAGTGAAACGCACTGGCAAGCAGAGAGAGAACTAACCCCTGCACAGTCCTATGTCCTACTCTGAAACATTTTAATAAAGGAAACCCTCCTAACACTGCATAGAACACAGCGTGAGAAGCACGAAACGTTCCACAAGGAAGCACTAATCTCAGCTACTCTTCAGCACTTCACAGCCCTTGCAAATCGAGGCGCCTGGCTGCAGCTGCTGCCTCCGACTTCCACGCTTAGCAAAGCAGCTGGGACAGACACCTCCCGCTCCAAGTTCTCTCCTGCATGCCCTGAGGAAACAATCCCGAGTTTGAGCCCCTGAAGCGTTGGCCCAACGGGCAATCTGTGAAAGCAGAATTGCTAAAAATGACCTTGTGGCGAAGTTCCCAGAGCCTAACGCCAACCTGCCTGATCTGGCACAGCCTGTCCTCCTTCAGCCAGCGTTTCTTGTGTTTCCATCTCCATGAAGGCTGCAAGGGTGTTTGGAGATTTCTGTTTAACTCGAGGAAATAAAGGAAACCTCAGCCACTCTTAAACACCTCCACTAGGAGAAGATGCAGCAGGAAACAGGCTTTTTTGATTTTGTTGCTGTTATTGATGCAGCCTTTTAAGACTCAAATCTCATTCCCTCCCAAATACTGCTCCACGATACGTGTGCCGTATCTAGTGAGCCTCTTCAGTCTCCCTCCGGCTGACAGAGGAGCCTCAAATGATTTTACTGTCTCTGGGCACAGCACGGCCATTCCTGGCCCTAAGACAACGAGCCAGGCAGAAAAGAACGGATGCCAGTCCTGCTCTTACCAGCGCTGGTAACTAAACAAACACATTAAAAATGAAATATCACATTACGTCTGCCCAGATATTTACGCAGCACTTTCACCAAAACTTCCCATGGAAGCTCACTGCCAGGTATTAAACTCGAATGGTTTTGCTGAATGTCTACATTCTACTCAGCTGAAGGGAAATTTTTATATTTATGGGCAGGCATACACAAGACCAAGATGTATTTATGAATAGATACAGTGTAATTTTTTAATTTTTTAACAATTTTATATACTAGGCTAATGTAAAGATTGGAAAAAGACTAATAACCTAAAACTGAACCTTTGTCATATTTTTGGTCTTCCTGCAAGACACAATTTCCACTGCTGATTAAGCATAATTTTTTCATAGCATTGCAACACGTGAGCATTCATTTACAGCACAGAACTACAAGTAAGACTACTTATTTGGGACACTTTCAAAGCACCTACCACCAACATTTTAATACGGCAATGAATTTGGCATAAGTAAACAAGCTTGCGTAAGAAGTGGACAGATTTTGTGGGGTGAGGAAGAGAAAGGAAGGACTCAAACTGCTCCATCAATAAATGCCTCTTTCACCCCTCAGGTGGAAACTCATAGACCTCATTTAAGAAAAGGTGGTGGTGGTGGTGTAGGGCCAGAGAAAAAAGGAAGCAGAAAGAGGAGCATGCAGGAAGCACCCTGGTAAAACGAGATCAGGCTTTTTCTTTTCCAGAGGGACAGGGATTTCATCGTTTCGCGCTTCCGCTATCGTGGTACAGAGTGAGCAGTCAGGGCAGGGGGATGAACCAGTTGGATCCCTGTGGCCCTGGTATGCCCTAGTGAGGGCATCCCAATCTCGTTCTTCCCCTCAGGCTGTCTCACACTTTCTGTCTTTGTCTGTCAGACCAATTTAAGATTATTCACAACTGCAGCCCAAAGGAGAAAAAAAAAAAAAGCAATTATACTTGAAATTGAAGCTTGGAAAGGGGGGTGCCAATAGAAAATGTTGCCAATGTACTTACTATTATTATTCTTTTCCTAGTCATTTTTTAATTCTGATATATAAGAGAAAAAATGAAGCCTTTACTTCAAAAGGCATTCGGTTTTTTATGTCAGAAAAATTGGATTACATGAACTGATGGAAGGGAGTTTGGCTTTTTGAGGTGAATACCATGGCTTTGGTTTCAGCCAGGTTGAAAATAAAAGGACTAGCACAGGAAGACTTCACAGAATCTGTAATTTCAGCATGGGAACCAGCTGTGAACAGCACTTGCTGCTTCTCAATATTTTGTTCTCTCGGCAAACTAGAAGTGAGTAAGGCAAACCTTGAGAGATTCGACATACATGATAGAAACTGTACAGCAAGGCTGTCTGGCTTCGCTTTTTAAGAAGGTCTCCTCAAGTCAGATGCCCAATATCTATTGACCCTGGTAACTCCTATGATAACTCCAACCTGAAATATTATTTTAAAACTGTATGCAGTCTGATTTCAATCTCTTTTATTTGAGTGCGAGCCACCCTGACTTTATTGAAGTCACCTACTGGTAAGAGTTTCAGGACTGCAGTTGTCCTCGCTACTGTATGAAAATGAATTTCCTTAAGCTATAACTGATGAGTCTGTCTCAGACAGAGAGCAGAGAAAATTATTTCAGCGAAAGAAAAACAAATGCATGTAGCAATCTATGGTAGTTACTGATTAAAGAAATGTGACTGTCTTTTCAACAGCAAAGCAAATTTTGCCTCTGTTTGACTAATCTGTTTGAGATGAAAACATGGTCCTAAGGGTTAAATGATTCATTTCAGTTTGAATTAATTTACATTAAAATATAAAGCTGTTAGTAAATAGGAGCATTTCAGTATTCAAACCCTGCAGCCCCCTATACACAGAGCAATATCACCAATTCCCAGCCGTAAATACCAACTAATGACCTGAGCCTGCGCTGCCTGAGCAGATGACTTCCCAGGCCCGGTACTCCAGGCCTGACAGGACCCATTTCCCTGCACAAGGTCAAAGCAACCCTTAATTTGCAAAAAGACCCGCACTCCCCGGTCCTACAGGAACCCTGCTTTTTGTGCGCAGAATAGAGGCGAGATGCTTCGAGGCAAGGCTCAAGCATCACAACACACTGGAAGTAGATATACGCAGCCATGAAACCGGTGTGCAACGGGCAGCATCCACCAAGCGATCGAGTGTTTCCCTCCTTTGTGCCTCTGCTGTTCAATAAAACAGCCTGGGGGCGAAATGCCACTGTGGCATTAAACAGCAGCATTTAGAAAAGAAGGGAATTCAATCATAAACCTGTACAGCTCACGGATACCTTAACATTTCCCCAACACGTGTGTTAGCAAGATGGATGACAGCAACCCTGGGACAAGCCTCCTGTCCCTGCCCCCTGCAGAGAGGACAGGTAAGCATCCTCCATGCGTGTGGTCCGTGTTAGAGGGGCTTTGCAAACCACTCCCGCTGTCATCTGTGGAAATGGCATGCCAACGTGCAGCCGTGGAGGTCCTTATGCTGGACCTGAAGCCACAGGATGACCTTTGGCTGTGCAGGTGTGCTGGGAAGTGAATGCT